TTACATGTGAAATTAGGAATAACAAAAGTTAAAATGTAATGTTTAAACTATACATGAAATTTTAAATAAATATAAATTTTATTTATAGTTTGATTTTATATATATATATGTTTCAAAGTTGGTTTTAATTTATAATTTATGACGAATTTTATTTGTATATTAGAAAAAAAAAATGTTGAATAATTAATAATTATTATTATTATATTGGCAACAATTTAATTTTTATTTTTGATGAATTTTCTGAAAAGAAAAATTTCTTCTGCAGTGGCGCGGAGCTCGAAAGATTCGATCAGGTGATGATGCGATCAACGGCTAATCATTACGCCTCCTACCGAGATCCATTTTCAGCCGTCGATCCGCTCGGCCGTTTATTGGAAGTTAACTCATGACGACCAACCAACAAGAAACGCAAAGTTCGAAACGTGATCAACACACAAAGCAAATACGACGACGTGTCAACTTTTATTAACTCAGTCGGCCCCTACACAATTAATGGGCCACACTTTTCGATGATCAACTGATCTCAACGGCTTACCCGCGAGATCTTTAACGTGAACGCGCGGACACACGGTCATCGCTAGTCACGGGTTGACCTTGACCTTATTGTGATTGGCCGGGATGAATACAGTATTATACTTTTATTAATCTCTTGATTAATAATTTAATTACAAAATTAATTGAGTATAATTTTGGTTAAACAAACGGGTTGGTCGTATTTGATTTTTTTGTATTAAGAAATAATTAGAGTTAATTAAGGAAGATAATTTGGTAGGGGTTAAGTCACATGTCAATTAAAGAGTAAATTAATTTTAATTAGATAACATGTTCAATTAATTTACAACTACCAAGATATTGATTGGGTACCATTTTTATATATACATATAATTATTTAAATAAATAGTTATTAGTAATAATATATATTTTTATTTTAATTATTCAGATTGTAATATATTTTGAGATTTAATTTTTTGACCATGCAAAATTGATGTGGGTCACTTAAAAAAAATGGGTATTTTAAATAATTTAAAGTATTAAAAATATAATTCAGTACATGTTTAATAATTCATAATATCTTGAAATAATGATTTACATGTAAATTACACTTAATATATACAAGCAATACAAATAAATATATATTTTTTAATTAGTACAAATAAACGTTTATGATAATTAAATAATCTAATTAAAATGTTTAATATGTAAATTATCCTTTAATATATTCAATCAATATAAATAAACGTTTTTTTATAATTAGTACAAATAAACGTTTATGATAATAAATTAACCCAATGAAAATGTTAAAAGATGATGATTTATATATAAATTACCCTTTAATATACTCCATTAATACAAATAAATGTTTTTTAATTTAATTATAAATAAATATTTATAGGTTTTAGTGTATTAAAATTTCAAAATGTGAAAAATAATATATTGTAACGTTTAAACTGATAGGTTTCGGTTAAAATCAATCTTAAAAAAAAAACGATGTAAATATTATAATTTGGACGAAAATCAACAATTGTTTTTAAGAATAATTTTGATTTATGTTTTACTCGTGGATTGCATTACTTAAATATAAAAAATAAAACAACAATTCTTCTTATTCATACTTAATATATAAAGATAAAACATGTACATAAGAATAAAAGCATGAGTACAACAACTACGAAAGCGAAAAGTTGATGAAGTGGATGACCGATTTTACAGGGGTCTCGGATTGCAACTATAAATCGAGTTTTCTGTCACACTTTCCTTTCTTTCCTTGATTTACGGCATTTGGGTTCTATCACAAACTTCTCAATATTTTTTAGTTCATCAATCCGGTGGAGTATGATATTTACCAAACTACGTAATTCTATGCTTATTCTTTTTCTTACTTAATTTACATGTTTCATTA